TAAAATGAGCAAGGAAAAATTTTCAAATATAGGGAAATCCAATCTTGCCTAATGCATCGTCTCTTTAAAAAAAAAAGTGCTGGATCCGAGTTTTTAAGGGTGCATCATTTGCAAACGCGCTCTTTAAAATCTGAAAGTCTTTTAACGGCTTTTTCCGCGGTTTTGACTTCACCCTGCACATCTAAATAAAAACGTCGCTAGATTCTCCGCGAGACGCAACGAAGTCATCGGTCCATTCTATTTGAGCTCGTAGGTAATGCATTCCACCTTAACGACTTGTCGGATCGAGTTTGGGAGAGAAAGAAAAAAACTGGACTTCCAGGGGGAAAAATATTGATTCCGTCGAATAATGATGAAGCGCCGACCCCACCAGAGTCGAGCCCCAGCTGTAGAACCGGACAGACAACCCTTTACCTTCGAGACTTCCTTGAATATTTAGGTCTTCGACCTATTCTCGGCTCTGAATGCACCAGAAATCCGTTATCCCAGAAAGAGGCGGTCCAGTCGAAATAGATTTTTAAAAAGTGAATCCTCTCAGACTAGAGGTACTCTCGCGTCACTCGTTGCAAGAGGCAGTGAGTGCCAGCCGACTGGGAGCCGACGTATGTCCACGGTCTCCTTCAGGTACGGAATTCACACGTTTGTCGTGTTTCTCCTAGATTCATTCGGGGTTTCCGGGATTCATTCTCCTAGGATCATCTATCCAAGTGGGGACAAAATACTCTAAGGTCGTATTTTCAAAGGGCTACCAAGACTTAGTAGTTACTTAGTTCCTACTATCTATCAGAGAATTAGTGGCTACTAAATCTTAGTAGCCCTTTGAAAATATGACCCTAAGTTTCAAATCCTATACTTGATGACATTCAAGAATGGGCAACGGTGTATTTCATACGACCGATTGCGCCATAAAGGAATAATTCAAGAACTTTTGTAGATCTAGAGTTCTTCAGCTGCTCAAATTCGTGTAAGGCGCGACCGACTTTTCTCATGATTACTTCCAGAAATGAGACTTAAGCTAAGACATTATGAAATACAGCCTTCATATTTGCGCTTGAAGGAAGCAAAAAAGTGATAGATCTTGCTCGAATGAAGCAAATATTTCTCTCAGAAAATTTACTCCTGTTCATTGTGCCCTTTTCATGTGACATAAGTATGGAGAACCCTGTCCATTTGTTTTTACCCGTAAAAGCGCCGTAAGAAAATTGAATTCCTATAATCGGCGAAAGATCAATGCCTGCTATCACTATTCACGTTATCAGATTCCTGTTTTAAAAATCGGGTAAGCAGAGTGCAATAGACGTTAAAATAAAAATTAAAATAATTGAACATGTAGCATGAGTCACGGTGGAATCACCATGGTGCGTTTCGGGCTTCCCCGTGGTCATTATCGTGAGCGTTGGTCGCAAGTGTAATGGTAGGTTCGAATGGGGAATCCCCAGCCCCCCGTTGCCACTCGAGGCCGGGCCCATTCAACCGATTCTCGGCTCGAGTTGCCTGCAAAAAAAGGTGCGTAGCAATGGTCATGGGTTCTATACTCGTTTGGGGACTTCCCGCCTCTGCTTTGCATTTCCGCTTTGCCCGCGTGGTGAGAAGCACTTCACTTCCTTTCTCTTCAGTGCGTGCCAAATGGTCATAATGAATTCCAGTGCTTTAAGAAACGGGATATCTTGTAGTTACACTTGTATTATCGCGAATATCGATTAAGAGATTCTGACATTTCTCTTCGATATCCATGTAAAACGCTCGATCCCGAAATCAACATCGGTGTCATTTTCCTCGGAAAAATGACACCGATGGCAATGAAACACCTGTGGCTTAGCTATACGAGGGTTTCAGGAAGTGTCCACCTCCTCTCGTAAGCCGGATGCCCTCATTACAATACGGTTAGAAGAAAAACAAGAACAAGTTTTCATTATCGCGAGGTGTTAAGAACTCGCATAAAGTGGGTCGTTATTATCGATGGATTCTCCTCACGTCGCGACACGAGGTGTGATATACGGTACTTATTAAAATATATGGTGCGACGGGTATTACATGCTTCTGAGTCTCCCAGGTTGAACGGGTCCAGGTGCGACAGGAACTAAACTGAGAGATCTTGCGAGTGCACGGGACATCGCAATAGTCTTCAGCTCTCGTTAATCGCCAGGATGCTTGCAACAGCCGCCATCTTCTTTTCCACCGTCTCAGGTGAGTCGCCGATTTTTTATTTCTCGGCCTTCTTTTGCTTGCTTCGGGGGGTTACGCGGGCCAGAGGAGTTGAGTCTGTGGATACATATTTATATTTTTGGAAATTCGAGTCAAAGTTCACCATGTCATAAAGCTTTTGGGTCGTTTCGTGCCAAAACGACAAACATTTGGAAAAAAAACATGCTCTACCATTACGGGAAAAAATGGTTTTAAAAATCGTGGTTAGAGGGGTCCACCCTGCTAATAATTCAAACTTCCGACAAAATCCTTTCGGCCCAAGGTTCTCTAAAACTAGCCCTTCGAAAGATCCCCGAGGGCCCTTTTTGACCAAACTTCGAACCCTTTCCTTCAATAAACTATTTAGTTGTACAGGTATAAAGATAATTTCATTGCAAAATCTACCTATCTTGAAAAACTTCCTCAGAATGTGTATGCGATGCTAACTTACTAGCATTTCAACTAACTTACTAGCATTTCAACTTTTTGCGCAAAATTTAAAGTCTCTCGAATTTGTGAAATAGTGATCCCTAAATCATCCCCGTGCAAAACTTAGAAACACTCAAATTGGAGTAATCGTTAACCTATGTAACCTATGTAATCGTTAACCTATGTAACCTATGTAATCGTTAACGGGCACATTGACACGAATGTTTCAATGTGCATTGCATTCAAAAAAGAATCCCACAATTATTTTTCCAAATGATAAACTTGTGAAGATTTAAGGACCTTTAGTCTTGCATGAGACCATGTTGTGCACTTCTTCAGGAAATGTTATACCCACAAAGTCCGAAATTTGCATGCTGCAGAGGAAACACGCAGACTATGAGATGCATCGGCAGAAAAAGTGTAAGATCTCACATGCAACATGTTCAGGCAGATCTAATGAACGCATCGAATCATCAAAGCGCGAGTTTTTTTTCCACACAATGTGAGACGAGCGAGCGTGTTGCATGCTTGATAGGGGGAATCTTCCCGATCAAGCATACTTGATAGCAAGCTTGATCGGGCAGATTCCACCCTCGCACGATCGTTGTCGCTCCTAAGGCAAGCACAGCCACGCTCCCTCGTTGGATATAGAGAAGAAAAAGGAATGTTGCAAGGATTTCCGAACAGAAACTTTCATCCGAACCACATACATATGTTGAGTGTGAAGTACTGTGAATTTAATATGATTTCTCACATGACCTGACATCAGCAGTGATGCAGTTGGAAAGGTTTTTTTTTGAGCCATCTAAGGGCATATAATTTTGGAGAAAAATCCTTATCGAAAAATTGTTCTTGCGATCAATTGAGATTAACAGAGCCTAAAAGTTTCAATTTTACATTAGAAAAAAAGTCGGATTCAGTCGCAATTTTACAAATTTTTAGGAATGATACAGGTCAACAATTCCTCCAACTAGTTCATTTTCTAGTTTATTTTTCCAAAGTTTTGCCCGTCAAATTTTTAGGACCACAAATTTGACAAGCCGGAAACTTTGAAATTCTGTGTTTAAAAATAATTCAAATTCCGCATTCATTGTTAAGAATTACACATTTGGATTTGTCTTTTGCAAATAAATAAATTTGCTGTTGGAATCATGTTCGCAAAACATTATTATTAAATTATTAAATGATTATTAAATAAAAATGTTTGAAATTTTGTCAAAAGTCATCGGAGATCTTAAGGGTGGGATTGGGCTAAGGCTGTTGTTAGTACGGGGGACTGGAAATCACCCTTACCGTGACTTTTAACAATTTTATTCGAGATGGTCGAGCTTACACCTTGGTTGTTCCCTGGTTGGAATGATCCCTCTGCGTAAGTTTTACCAAATGTGAAGGCATGCAAATGCAGCTCCACCTGTTCGCTAGGAGCGGCCATGGGATGACCTTATGACATCCGCACCCTATTTTTTGCTGTGAATAGGGGATGGGTGGGACGAAATTCATGTTAATTATATTTTTTTATTTGTAGAAATGAGTGTAAGATGAGAAAATACGGGTGTAAGTAGACAATTGAAAGAAAGACTTGAATTTGTTCAAGGTTCCATCATGGTTTGCAATGGATATGGTGCAAGTGGGACAGGTCATTAACTTTTTGGCGCCAGGGTGACTTATGCATGACATTTCTGTATTCACTTCCTCGGAAAATCCCCAAAAACTCAATTTGAAAATAATGGCGAAAGATTCAGGAGCGGAAGATTTTAATGAAAAATGACAAAGAGTAGATAAATGAGAGTAAGGGACAAAGGAGACCATTCTGGCCCTTTTCCTTAATTTGGAAAAAAAATCCATTATCCATATTTTGTTCAAGTACCATATTCAACATGTTGCATTTTGAAGAACAAATGACCTGCTGACCTGCAGCGGGTGGCTCAGCTGAAAAATCTCGCATTCATATAGTGTCCTCAGACTCAGGACATGGTTGTCAGTGGAAAAGTTTATTTGAGGATAAACATCTTTCTCTTGGAGAAAACCTGAAAAAAGAAAACTTTGAAACTTTTGTAAAGATCCATGAGAATTTACGAATTGTATGGCCTAAGACACGAAACGGTACCGCTTTGATCGGAATATCCCTGCAGTTGATTCGAAATGTGCCCGCATTTCATTAACCTATGCCGGTTTCCTACCTATAGCGAATGCCGTTAATCGCTGTTCCTTCCACGTGATTGGTTTGCAGTGCTGCTCTGGACGAGCGGGAAATCTCAGATGTTATTCCTGAGAACCGGGGGAGTCACATTCCACTATCCGGGTAAGGGCATTCCTCTCCCGCACCCGACCTTGAGGACAACAGGGTCTTGGCTTTCGTTGATTCTTTCTGTTATTTTTGTTCACCGATGCCAATCACGTCCCGTCCATCTCTGTGGCGATCCTCCGATGCAGAGAGCCGGGAATGGACTCAGTTGAACGAAGCATGCGGAGTGAAGGACGGAGGTCGGCAGTCCCCCATCGCCCTGGAGTCGGAGAATTTCTCCAATTTCTTCCTTTCCCACGATCCTCTCCACTACTTCAATTACTATTATTTCGATTCCTTTGGTCCAGCGAAGTACGTCGTTCGCAACACCGGCACAACTGGTATCTCATTTCTGACCTCAATATTACACGAGGGCGGGTTTCTCGCACAATATCGTAAAACAATTACTTCTTATCGTGATGGTTTCCGTCAGCATGGTCGATATCACTTTCAGTCCATGAAACAGGTTTTAATGATGATAAAACAATATTTCCTATCGGACTACGTTTTTCAAATTGCTGCTCCCTGCTGCCAATTTTTTGCCGCAAAATTTAGACCGACCAAGGGCTTCCGAATGCTAATCTTGAGTACAACGCGTGAATTCTCGACGGCTCTGATGAAGATAGCAGACATCGAATCGAAGCAGCCTCGTTAATTGCTTCTGTATCTGACAGTGATGTTTACCCCGGAAGGAGGGAAGATCCCTCAGCTGACAGGGAATGGCCTGAGTGGCAGGTACATACTGGCCCAATTCCACTTCCATTGGGGCAGCGATGCCAGCAAGGGTTCCGAGCACACCATCGACGGCGAGAGGTCAGTTTCTTCTTTTTTGCTCTTTTCCTCCTGTTTCGTCGGATGGTTCCACGGGGATCGGCTGTCTGCAGGTTTCCGTTGGAGATGCACATGGTGTTCTACAATGCGGAATTTTCTTCCCTCACCCAAGCCGTGGAAAGTCGGAGATTCGACGCCATCACGGTCTTCGCGGTCCTCTTTCATGTAGGGTTTTATTTAATGAGCACTGGTCCATGCGATTCGGTTCGTCAAATAAGGACAAAAAAACTAAGAAAACCTCGTTCTGTCCGAAGATGATATGCCTGTCCATTACACGTTCACAAACGAGGAACACGTTTCTGTAGTTTATTCACGGACTTATGTTGGCATAAATTTCGTACATATAAGGAATGAAATACAGAAATAAAATTCGACGCGAAACGCGACCCTGAGACGTGGTGAGGCTGTGTCCTTATTCGTTAGCTCCGTACATGCGATATTCTCTCAGAGGACCACCCACTTCGTGGCAATGGGTACGTACATGTCGAAAGGGTGCCTGCATAGCGTTAAAGAGCTTATGTGGAAAAGAAGGTTATCGCCACTTCCTTACTGTTGTATTTAAGCGAAGGATCACAGGGAAGCGTTACTCACTTCAAAATTTTATTGAACATTTTAAGGGTAAGATGCGTTTCCGCGTCTTTCTTTCAGGTCTAGAGTGACGATTCGTCTAGGATGATCCTCTGAGCTTCGCCTTTCCTATGATGAGAGAGCTTCGAGCCGAGGCTTGCTGTGTCTCAACCGCGTCAGCCAGAACGAACCGGCTGAGTCGTCTGCTCGGCTGGATCAAGTGGACAGACCCTTTTAAGGCTGAGAAGCTTAAGCCGCATGACTTGCCTGCTAAGTCATAAGGGAGAAAGAAACCCATTGGAAATAGAGAGACTCGGACGCATGTTGACTGCTCAAGAAGTTAGGATTCTCGACGCCATCCTAAGTAACTTACAGGTGCCTGAGATGCTCCATAAATTGCTGGTGGAAAAATTTAAGAGACAAGCTAACCTAACAGCTCAGCTGGATGAAATTAATGTCATTTAGTTTGCATAAGCTCTGTGTGATCTCTACAGCCTCGTTGTTGTTGTCATCACTTAGCAAACGTGAATAGCCTTTCTCCCTTCGGATCCGTGATCCGCGGAAATCGAAACATGATAGATTTCGATTTCGGGCATTCGTTATGCCACTCAATCGAACGCAGTAGCATTATTGTAAAAATGCTCTTGCGAAACAAGACTTTGCCATGATAACGACGGATTAGAAATTAGGTAGTTTAGAGAGAAGCATTCTGGAGGAACAATAGGATTACAGTGCAGGGTGCATGGATTATTCCTAGCTCAGACGGGGACCCACTTTGTTTACGACGCTGTCACAATGTTATCCCGATCCTTTCGCCAAATTTTTAAACTCTTTGGCAGTCTAGTATATCTAGAATAGTCAAGCATGTCTAATAAACTAATTTTTTACTCTGATGCCTTTATAGCGAGTCCTGGAACTACTTCACCGATGGGTGCTGACATCTAGCGAAAATGGACGACATTTAATGAAAAGACTCTTAACGACAAGCTGCCGTCAGAAGTAGCGTGGGCATTTATTTATAGTCACGACACATTTTCGATTGCAAGTAACAAGGGATTAATCACAAAATCAGCTCGAAGTGACACAGAATGACCCAGGGAGACCTACCTAATCACCGCTAATGTCCTCAGGGTACTGAAACTGAGCCTATGGGATTTTGAGTCTCTTTGGATCATCCCTAGTCAATTTAGGTAATCTCTGGTGAATCTAGGATGATTAGTTCCGAGTTAGGTCAATGGGTCAATCGTGTCACACTGAACTACTTTGACTAGATTTTGTGATTAAAATTTTCAGGTTTTAGTGTCCTATTAAGTGGACTGGTGAGTTTCTGACTGGGTAGGAAATAATATATTATCCTATCAGCATATACAGGTATAATCACTATAATCCTACGATTCCTGGCTTTTGTTACTCTATTTACAAAGCAATGTAGCATCGTGGCTGATGGGCCAGTTGTTATATTTACATTATAGTTTTTAGATTGTATGTAGAACGTCAGAATAATCAATATGGAATACCATGGCCAATGCTTGAGTCATTTTTTGCTGAGTTTCATGTGGTTAAACTGTTCTCGGTGAACTCCCTAGAAGAGGGCTCTCGTTGAGGTTCTTTCCTTCAACTAAATTTTGATTTCGTTATTCCTTTGCGCCTTACTTGATTCTGACTGCCCTTTGGCAGTTCATGCAGGAATCGATTCACGAGATCACTATTTTATGCAGACATTACCAGAACCTCCCAATAAATTCTCTTGGGTCCTACCTACATCGCCGCGAATGCACTTGCAGATGGCGGAGAAAGAGGCAGAGGGGAAAGCGTGGAGGAAGTTGGAGGAAGGACTAAGAAGAGTGAAAGAACCTGGAGAGGCCCAGATCTCAGGCTTCCCCTTGAGATGGCTCATACCCAAGTACGTGGCGAGTGGTCCCTTCTTCCGATACGATGGATCCTTGACCACTCCCCCTTGCTCAGAGAACGTCCGATTTACCGTCTTCAAGACCACGGCTCCTATCTCCGCTAGAACCGTAAGCATTTTCTCATCCATATCGACTTCAGTTCCGGATGACTAGTCAGAGACATCCGGTCGACAAAGTAGACGATTAGAATACATCACATTGTTGCATTGTTTCAACCGTTTCGTGTATTGGAATACTTTCCAACTCGAAAAATCAAACAAGATCCACATTCATGAGCTCGGGAAAAGTTAGTAAAAAGCAAACTTCCATGCTCTTCTCCTCCAACCTCCTGATAGAAGCTCGTGATCTTGGCGATAAAAGCATGGCATTCAACACATATATAGAACTTGATTTTGCAGCATTGTTTCAGATGTGATAGCTAGTCAAACGCTCTATTTCAGACTACACAGATTTGTATTTAAAAATTTAATTCACTAAATGGGTATTCATAGATGATAATTGCTATCATACATCCTACCCGAATTATTTCGCTAATGCTCTATTCAGATTTTCTTCTTTTTAAAATGTTGTCACAGAAGTAATTGGAACATATTCCGAAATATAATGAGTTGATTTTGGGACATAAAAAAACGATTGTCCCCTCACCACCCAGCAATAATGACACTCTATTCCAGTTCCAGGTTCAAGACCTTACTTAAGATATCAGATGGGTATTTGCGTCCATATTGACATCTCGAAACGAGCAGTTGCCCCATCTTAAATGGTCCCTAAAAATAAAGATTTTTGAATGAAAAGTCTATTACGTACAGCTAAACTACTGTTACATTATTTCCCTTTTTTGACATGTCATTCCTGAAGCCATCTAACCTGTTCTGAAAGCTACTCACGGAAGGACAGCAGTCAAAACATGCTCAAAACATTCCACCCTTCAATCCCCAACTAGAATGTGACTTGAGGCTTACGTAACTTGAATCAGGTCCCTCTCGTTCTGCGTGTTACTATCGAGTCAGAAAGTCCTTCCACTCTCCACATAATCGATGCCCCTAATCTGAAAAGCCTGTATGAAATTGCCCCCACTTAGCCTTTTCTCCAGTGAATGCAGACCAAATGCGTCTAAACGCCACTTTTACTCGATTCTCCGTCAGTACCTTATGGTTTTTGTAGCCCGCTTCTGAACCTTCCCAGCGCTTTTCGATTACCCTTTATATAGAAGCCTCCAAAATTGAAAACAACTTTCTAAATGAAGCCTTACGAGAGTGGAATGGTACAATTGAAGAACATTGTCTAAGCTCTTATCGGTTCAATAACTTTGAAACTACTAGTAATACAAGAATGACCAAACACATAATGGAATGCATCTCAAGTTTCTGATGAACCACCGCTGCACAGAGTGGGGTGCATGCCAGTGAAGCTTTCCCACGCTTGCACTTCCCCCGTCGTTTTTCAGTCCATCCACATTGTTTAGGCTTCATGCACGATAGTGTAGCAGCTGTGTTTGCCATAATGGCGTCCAGCCTTGGGCATCACTTTGCTGCCGTCTCCAGTTCTCAGGGCCTGAAGGATTAGAGGAAATGAGGAAGAAAGGCATCGCTCTCGTGTGCTGGAGCAATACTTATTGCAAAATGGCCCGGATCGATCGGCTTCTTTGAAGGAACGGCTTTCCGGCTGAATTCGCATCTCGACTGCTGGTCCCCAGCCTGATGTAGTAGAAAACTTCGGCTTACTGGAGCACTATGAGGTTTCCTTGCATGAAAGCACCAGATTCAAAAAGTGAACTGAGCCAGAAGCAGCGGGTCCTTAAAAAAAAAAAATAAGACGAGCCATCGAAGCGATTTCTCCCGTTCCATTGGCATTGATCCAGAGCATCAGAGCAGTACATGATGGAAGAAATAAGTTTTTCTATGAAAGGCCAGTTTCTTAAGGAATGTGACCATCTGGGGGTGGCAGGAAAGTGATGACCAAGCTGGACATCATCCTGATCAACACTCCTAGTTTCTGTGGTCAGGAAATGCATGCTTGTGAAACCTTCGTTAGCATGCCCTGCGCTTTTTTACGCAGTGGTTAATGCATCCAAAATAATTTATAATCTCTTGAACTTCAGTAATAATTTAAAACTTTGGTATTTTGTTGAGTGCTTGATGGGCTTTACACCTGCCCGTTTGATCGTGACCTTTTTGAAATATCACACGAGTTAACTCATCAGTGAAGACGTGTTCCGCTTCAGTGCATGGCACAAATTACAAAATGAATATTTAGTACTTTATGAACATTTGAAGACAGGTCCAAGAAATATTAGACTTCCCCAAAATTTCTGACATTGATCTGTGGGCGAAGTTCTGTAGTCAGGTGATATTTCCTGCTCTCATCACGAAGTTTTCCCCCAGTGGGACCACTTTTCAATAAATTAGCTGGATTATTAGGATTAAGGAGAAGTTGAATAATCCGGCAAATGTTATCAGTAAAGACGTAGTGTCAGTAAAGACAAGTAGTGAGAAGACATTTTGATTGAGATCTTTGGTTTCATAAATTGAACTTGAATATTCATCCAGCCGGAAAGTAGCACACCGTTTGCGATTACTGCATGTTTCCAGCAATATATTCGAAGTTTATGTGACGTAAGCACTTTTGTCTGCTCGCAATCGCATGCGTCCCTTCTTGCTCGACTGAGATACTTTCGACACGATATAACACGGAATCGTGCTGTTATATCAATCGGTGATTGTGACTTCAGATGCGGAGATTCCGGAAACTGAGCAACAAGGAAGGCCGGTCGTTAGTGGACAACTTTCGAAACCTTCAGCCCTCTAATGGAAGGATAATCGTGGAAACATCCCAGAAGTACGGCAAGGGAGACGAGGACGACGAGGACAGAAGCGAAAACAGCTCTTCGTCAGAGAATCTCGGAGCGGCCGTTTTCAACTTTTCGTGAGCTGTCTCCTTCGCGAGCATCCGTCTTCCATCTTCCATCTTCCATCAATAAAGTGTGATACCTCCCGCTGCGACGTGCATTTAAATGGCTTTCTTAGAACTTCACCCTGCCGTCTTTCAGAAAGTATCCAATTGCAGTCCTGCGGCGTCTGTCACGTCTCTTTGGTTGCTCGACTAAACCTAAAGGAAATTTAATTAGTTGGAAAATTTTCATGCCACCACGGGTGAAGATACATGTGGGAAGCCAAATAAAAGTCTAGGAAGCCAAATTTACTCCCTCCACTGACATTAGAATGTTACAGATTAACGAAGTTTTAATATGGACACCCTTTCACGACACTGAGCATTCTGATCTTCATTGCTCCGATGAATGAGCGATGCCGCGAGGATCCACAATTGCCCATAAAATATATTTTAGTGCTCAGTTAAACAGTAGTTCCATCGGTGAGCCTCATTCGACCGTTGGCGCCTGGCGTTCCAGCTTCCTTTCCCACGAGATATACCGCACGATATGACATACCGCTGGCTTCTCCTCGAGTGCAGATCCATACATTGAATCTATATAAGTCTGCAGTAAGAGCACAAAATTGATATGGCAAAAACCATATCAGTAAGCTGTCAGAACAGCCAAATCGTGCATCTAAGACCGGTGCAATTCACGTAATGACATCTGGATAAATGCCAGCGCAACTCAGTCAATCGAGAAGATTTGCATTCTCTGTGAAAAGTCCTGCATGTGCCGAACAACAGCTCCTGGTTTTCAGACATTTTGGAGCCCCTCTTCTTTTCTATCTGCCATGGTACGAAGGGACAACAGCTGTGCTTAGTGGGATGGAACCATGCTTCCAAAACTTACCCGAATGGAGAGTATTTTTGTCGCTAACATTGGACGAGGGTGCCTGAAAGATGAATGATTTGGATTCGTCTCACGAGGGGAGCATTGGGAGATACATTAGACCTTTGAACTTAATCTGAGGCTAGGGTTGCAAAGCTTGTTGAAAGCTGAATACAATTCAATGGGTTTTGTGTGTCGTCGGGATGGGAATGCGAATCATGACCGCATGATGGACTTTCCATTCTGGTCTTCACCTTTCCTTCATGGATGTTCATTCAGTTTCAAAGTTGTCTTCTGTGGTGAAAATTAACGTCATTGTAAAAGAGGAGCTGAATGCAAGTCGAAACAGGTCGTATGAAACCCATGAAGGCTATCAAACAACCCTGTTTAGAATCGAGGAGGTTAGAGGGGTCGCTTCCGGTTGGATTGCGTTCGTCTCTTTGTAGCTGCGTCTCACTTTTCTGCACTGCATCTCTCTGCAGTTCTCCTCTTTCTGGGTGAGCCTCTACTATTTTCTACCCATTGAGAGGTTCTTGGCCCTTTGCCTTTTCTTTCGACCCGCTGCTTGAGGCGTGAGTTCTTCGAAACTGTCAAACACGTCTTTAGCCCAAGCCATATAGGCCTAATGTTCTTGACGTTCACTTGAACTTGGAATTGTCGAATGCGATTTTTGTGGATCCCTCTTAGTTGCGGGGACGATCCATGCTGGGTTCCACTATCAATGTTGCAGTGCATTGAGCTGCAAATCTGGCACATCCACCTCGACCCTAATACAACGACTTTAGACTAATTGCATCCCCCCCCCCCCCTATTGTGACGGAAGTGGGAATGACTTAATTCCCACTTCAGTCACTGATTTAGCCAGGGACAGTTACATTGAGACAGCAGAAATAGCTCAGTTTGATGACATGAAGCGCCTTTAAGAAAAAGGTAGGAGGATGCAATCAATCGAAGATCACTGTCGTTCATTCATTCGAATCTCCTTCTTAGACCTATCGTGACATCTGACTTCTCCCTCCCAGGACCAAGAGCCAGTTGCCTCGTCGGCCAGATTCTCCCCTTAATCCCATGCAGGCCTAAAATTTGTCTGGTCAGAGGTAAGGGAATTCAATTATATCATCTGTGACTACTAATCCGCGAGTCCCTGAAATATGCTGGATAATGCCACATTACTGATGCTCACGCTAAAGGTTTAAATCCACTAAATGAAAAAATAAACTTTTTTTTCCTTTCCATTTTTTGCTACCAATATGTAGACAACAGATTTTGATGAGCCGCAATGTTGATATTCCTGTTTCTCAGCCAGTCTTTCGATGCTCTCAAAAATCACTCTCCCTGGTAGTGCCTAGCGTCTCTGTAGTCACTTTTGGCCGCAGATCGACTACCTGCAAAATCATGGGCACAACACAAGACGTACTGCTAAGTCCATGGTCTCTTCTTGTTAATAGACCCTGAAATGAGACTGGCAGAAAAAGAAAAGCCTTCTAAAGCCGATGTCCTATTGCCTTAGTTCGATGCTACGGAAAAAGCAAGTAATAGTTATCCCCCTTTTGAAAAAGTTGAGCACAAGGGGTGAAAAATTATAGCCCGCAAATCTCCCAACTAAGAGTTGGAACAGATAACTTGCCTGTTTCAGCTGTTCAAGTATTCTATGAAATTCTGACTGCTTTGGGTTATGAAGTTATGATACTATGCTTTTACCTGAGCTGACATCTCCAGTAGGCTAAGCCTACCCTAGTCTGCAAGCCTGCTCAACCATGCTGTGAGTGGATATGTTTGAAAATTTATAAGTCTGCTTTTTCATTAACTCTTAGCCCTTAGCACTCTCAAAGTTCAGGTATATTTGAAATGTTATATTTAATTTTCTTGCCTAACATGAAGAAGGAACGGTCTCCCCCACCCCGCATTAAAAAAATCCAAGTAGAAGGGCAAAAATGGTGCCAATGAGGGGAAACGTTCTCAGAAGTTGACGTGGGACATCAGGCGTGGCTACAGCAAATTTTTGATGACTTTTCGTGCCAATTGAACTGAATCATTCATTTATAAATTATAAGAATTTCGATTAGTGACACTTCGCTGATGGAAATTTGAACCATCGTGGTCCAGGCGATTCGACGAGGTTCAGCAACGAGAGCCCTTTAGCAGCCAGTGAAAATCGCATCCAGATATCCTTGATGCAGATGAAGAAAAATTATGAGAGGCTCGAGAAGTGTGGAGAGACGCTGGACGAGTGGATGGCATTAATTCCTCTGGATTTTGTGGCATTTACTACCTTATCCAGAGGTAGTACCAATTTACCAAAAAGAAACTGCTGTCTTAAAGCTATCTCGACGTCCCTTCTGTGGCGTCAAGCATCTTCTGAGAGTTCTTGAGTGACTGTGCCGATGGAACTGCATTGTCTCGGTCCACGATCAACATCTTGTCTTTGCTTGTAGACTGGAAAGTACAGGCTGCAGTCCTCTTTCCAACATTTCTAGATAGACGAAATGCATAAAAACTTTTGGTTTGGGAGTCGGATGTGTAAAGGAGAAGGGGAAAGGAACTCATTTCTGCAAGAAGACTGTAGATCCTTTCGTCAAAAGTGTTGCATCGTTTCTGGCTGCTACACTACGCCGTTGCATTTAGTAAGCGCAGGCTAGTGGACCACATTCCTGAACAAATTTTGACAATGGCAAGTTATTTTATGAGTAGGTGCTGGATGCACATATGCTGGAAATGTGAAAGTGATGTTATGACTGTCACCAGAAGCATGCGACATCTGTTGCATCCGGTCGGAACCTATTCCCGGCTGTCAACGGTCTTTGTACGGTATTCAAAATTGTTCCACTTAGTGCAAGTCCTGTCGAAGCGGTTCCGGTTGCTGTTATTCCAGTTCGGAGTTCTTCCGGTCTATATCGTTCCAATCAACTAGTTTTTTGTTTTTGTTTTTTTTTGTCCCATTCCGATTTGGTGTACTGGTCGGCACGATTCCTGTTTTTTTTTTTTGCTTTTTTTTCGATACAGCATTCTTCCGAGAATCGTGCATTCGTTTCTGTTCTTCATTCCGATGCAGCGTATGTTCCGCATTATTCCAGTTGGAATCTTTCTAGCTCGGGGCTGCTTATGTCGTCCTTATTACGCTGCAGGCAGGTCGGCACTGTTAAGATTCGGCGTGGTTCCTTCCGTGTTCCGTGTTAATTCCGCGTCCCTTCCGTTGCAATTCCTCGGCTCAGCGACGAAACAAGGTGCAATTGGGCTGTGCACGGATGGCACACCCTCTCTTGTAGCATTCTTCATTGACGTGGGATTGAAAACATTGGGCTTTATTAAGAGAAAGTGCACGATGGTGTTTTGCCATCGTCACCAGGTGTAGGACATTTGAACACATCACACGCTTTGCAGCTCGTACCTCAAACTACTTGGAAAGGCTGCATTTTCTCCTCGTACATACATATTCCTTTAGCATTAAACTAGGAAACCTTTTCCTTGAGTGAAAATGAAGATTTTTTTTTTACCTTGTTTCCCCCGCGCTCAATTTGTCCCTGGTTGAATGCCCCGCATAATTCACAAAGTTCCCTTTTCGAGAAAGTGACGGCTGAGTTGAAAGTGAACCATGAGAGGAATACAGATTTGCACCTGGAGGATGCCTGAGGGAGCCTGGAGGCGCTCGCTCGCTTTCTTAGGAGATTCTGCTCTCGTGCAAAATCTCAAATTCCGATCCCTCAAGCTTTTGCGCCTAAATCCGTCCCTCGCCTACGTTTTCAAACTTGATGGTTTTGGGAACTATACCATTGGAGAGGGAAATGAGCTCGCTGTCCATTCACGCTTTTCAAGATCGGATATTAGTTAATTTTTTTTTAAAAAGGCAGATTGGATTTCTTGGTGTGTCCAATTATGTGATTGGGGGGGAGACGACTTTATGACAGGGCCAGAATTTGTCTCACTTACTCTAATTATGAAGATGACCAGATTACTGCGCTACATAAGGATGAAATCCAGCATGGATAAGAATCATTCACGCGAGGCAGACCATAGAACTGGTTTCATTTTTTAAGTAGTTTCATCAAAAATGTTTCAGTTGACACTGAAACTGAACTGAAACCTTTTCGCGGGAATAAAGGAAAAAAGTATTTCGATTTCAGCTCCAAATGAATACCGAAAACAAAGTTCTTTATTTCTGAGGCAATTTTTTTACTGCTCTGGAATTTTTCTTAACAGAACTTTCGTTAATGTAACTTCTCACATGGTCGCTGGCA